ACCAGGGAAGCCCCCAGGCAGAGGTTTTGCAGGCTGCAGGGGGAAGGTGGAGGGAGCCCCCGGCCCTGGGAGACCCCCAGACAAGTTTCCTGTCTGCACCGTAAGGCCCAGGATGTGCCTGGCACGGCTGGTCACAGAGAGTCAGGCCACCCAGGCTCAAGGAGTCAAAAGTTTAGATGACTTATCCCTAAGTATAGAGATGCATGATCCAAGAAGAAGCTTCTTGTCGCGAAACTTGAAAATCATGTTCCATAGCCAGACCAGACAATCTATAATGCACCAGAGGAATGCTTTATTAGTAATATTGGAATTGACTTGTTATCAGCACAATTGAAGTGCATTATTTGTGTGAAGTGTGCTTTTGTTGGTAATTTATTAAAGTAACCATTTAAAATATAGACTAGGGAATTCCCTGGTGGTCCAGTGGTTTGGACTCGAAGCTTTCACTGCTGAGGCCCTGGGTTCGATCCCTGGTCTGGGAACTAAGATCCCGCAGGCCGCGTGGCCAAAAAGTAAATAATAAAAATAAAATACAGACGAATGTTTTAAACCCTTGAGGCACATTTTCATTTTTTAATATGCCAAGATCAAAAAAAAACAACCCAGCTGAAAGTTGAGGGCCTCTCTCAACCTTGGAGAAGAGCCGGCCTCCCCTCTTAGGAGCTGTTGTTCCCAGAATTCACATGCGGAAGGGCTAACCCCAGACCTCAGGACGTGACTGTCTTTGGAAATGGAGCCTTTAAAGAGGTGATTAAGTTACACTGAAGTCACCAGGATGGCCGGAATCAGTGTGACTGTGTCCTTCTAAGGAGAGGAGATCAGGACACAGACACGCACAGAGGATGACCGTGTGAGGACCCAGGGAGAACACAGCCACCATCACGGTGAGGAGAGAGGCCTCGGGAGGCGCCAGCCCTGCTTACAGGCTGGAGAGAAAATATCAACGGACACCCCGTGTTTGCGCTGCGCAGCCCAAGCAGAGCGCTCCGCCGTCACCCCGTTTCGCTCCATTTGCTCCACGGGGGGCTCATCATCAAACCCTTTTATAGATGCAGACACTGGGGGCCAGGGGGTCAGCGGGTGTGAGGAGGGACAGGCTGGATGGCGATTCGAACCTCGGTCAGCTCATCCCCGGCAGCCGCTTTCTCCCCACTGCACACACTTTTCCTGGGAGGCGGGAAGCCTGCCCTCCCCCTGGCTCAGAGCTGAAGAAAGGACTCTCCCAGCTCTGAGTGGTCCCAGCAGGCCCAGGTCCCTTCTCCCCTGGGCAGGTCATGTGTTCATTTGTTCCGTTACCTCACCCACGTGGATTGAGCACCTACTCTGCCCCCTGCGCTGTGAAGGTGACGGTGAGCGCGAGCCCTCAGGGAGCTCACATTCAGGGGAGACAGACTGAAGCCACGTAACTGAGTAACATCATTTTAGAGAGACCTAAACACAACAGTGACCAGATAGAGAAGGCCCTGGGCAGGCGGGGGACTTCGATGGGGTGGTCAGGGAAGCTGATGTCTGAGCTGAACCCTAATGACCCAGAGCAGCCGTGTGAAGGCTGGAGGGGGCGAGCTGGGACGGAGGCGTGCAGCAAGGGCATGGAGAGGCTGGGGCGAGCCTGGCAGGTCCAGGTTCAGCAAGGAAGCCACAGGCTGGGGCGGGCTGAGCCGGGAGGGGAGGAGGGCAGAGGGGGCGGGCCGTCTGGGGCCCAGGAGCAGCGCAGACCTTGTCTGACTCAGGAGCAACGTGCAGGGGGGTGTGAATCCAGCTGCAGGCCCATCCCCTGGCAGTGCGTCTGCCTCGGATGGGCCCTGGGCGGTAGCCAGGGGCACGAGAAGGAGCATGAACTAAGGGGTCTCAGCCGTGAGCCAGCAAACCACGTGACCTCGAGTAGGTGGTTTTGCGGGGCCCGCTGTCCTGTGCAGCCCGGACAGGCTTCAGACCTACTTACCCCACCCCCACCCCCAGAGCCAGGGAGCATTGAAGGTAGACACTGAGGGCTGAGTCCCTGGGAGTTGCCTCGGGTGCTGGTGGCAGCTGCTTTGCCCAGGGTCGTGTTATTTTTCCCCTGGTCTGGCTTTTACGCTCTGTTTGGCCTTAGACATATGTGTACATCCGTGGGGCCCACGGCAGGCTCGCTGGGAGCAGGTGCTCTGTGTGCCTGCGCAAGGTGAGTGCACGGCACAGGGCAAGGGCTGCACTCGTCGTATTTATTAGAAGATGAAGCAGAAACTGCTCATTGTCCCCCCAATATCCATTCTCAAGCCTCTCGCATGGAGACAGAACTCTAGACTTCTAGCTGGATACAGGGTCTTCCAGAATAAAAGCTGCATCTCCCAGCACTCCCTGCAGCTAGGTGTGGCCGTGTGCCTAAATGCTGGCCAGTGAAGTGTGAGCAGAAATGATGTGTGCAACTCTGAATTGTGTTCTTAAAAAGAAGGGGCATGCTTTCGCCTTCCCACTGGCTGGAATACAGATGTGATGGCTGGAGCTGGAGCAGCCACCTTGGACCACAGGATAGTGAGCCACTGCAGAGTCATCACATGTACCCAGAGCTGGATGCTTGCTGGCTCTGCTGCAGCAAATCTCTTACCTCCCAGCACCTCAGTGTTTGCACATGTGGAATGAGAATGAAATCCTAAGTGAGCCCATCTCAAACAGAGTCTTATTTTATGTAATGGTTCTATTTCACAGGGGAAAAAAAAAATCCCTTAAAACTGCAGAGCCTGGACCTTTAGAAAGTCTTAATTCTTTTTTATCTTAATATTTATTTATTTATTTAGGCTGCATCAGGTCTTAGTTGCGGCATGCAGGATCTTTAGTTACAGCATGCAGGCTTCTTAGTTGCGGTATGCGGGCTTCTTGGTTGTGGCATGTGAACTTCATAGTTGCAGCATGTGGACTTTTAGTTGCAGCATGAATGTGGGATATAGTTCCCCAACCAGGGTCCGAACCTGTGCCCCCTGTATTGGGAGCATGGAGTCTCACCCACTGGACTACCAGGGAAGTCCCAGAAATTCTTAATTCTAAATTAACTCCTTAATTAACTCATTGTGTTCTATTTGCTTTGAGGCACAGGCTCCCTTTCCCTGGGATGGTCAAGACCCCCTCACTGGGGGGCATCAGAGGCCACCTGGGAGTGGAGACTTTCACCACCATAGTCCAGCAACCACAGGCACCCACCCTGCTATCTGGAGGAGGCCATGAGGTGGCAGTAATGAGGCATCCCTCCCAGCAAGGGCCACATCAGTGGGATCTGGCGGGGAGCTGGAAATCTCACCTCTCCCAGCAGTAATGAGAAACCCCTCCACCCCCAGTGTTAGAGGAGGGCTAGTGGGGAACCTGCACTTCCACCCCAACTGGGCAGTGATGAGGCGGTGTCCCCTCTCCCCCACCAGCACAGTGTCAGAGGAAGCCAGATAAGACAGAGGTTTAAATAAGGCCCAGAATCTCATACCATAACCCCCAAAAATCCAGGTTTCAATTGCAAACCACTCTTCATACCAATATCCAGAAAGATCTCAACTTGAATGAGAAAAAGCAATCTACAGAAACCAACCCCAGAGGATATAGAAGTTAGTACTATCTACCAAAGATTTATTTATTTATTTATTTATTTATTTATTTATTTATTTATTTATGGCTGTGTTGGGTCTTTGTTGATGCACGCGGGCTTTCTCTAGTTGTGGCGAGTGGGGGCTACTCTTCGTTGCATCATGCGGGCTTCTCATTGCAGTGGCTTCTCTTGTTGCGGAGCACGGGCTCTAGGCACATGGGCTTCAGTAGTCGTGGCATATGGGCTCAGTAGTTGTGGCTCACAGGCGCTAGAGTGCAGGCTCAGTAGTTGTGGCACACGGGCTTAGTTGCTCCACAGCATGTGGGATCTTCCTGGACCAAGGATCAAACCCGTGTTCCCTGCATTGGCAGGCAGATTCTTAACCACCGCGCCATCAGGGAGGTCCCTACCAAAGGTTTTAAAGCAGCCATTATGAAACTCCTTCAACAATGAACACAGTTGAAACAAATGAAACAATAGAAAGTCTCAGCAAGGAAATAGAATATGTCAGGAAGAGCCAAATGGAAAATTTATTTGTTTATTTTTCAAGTGGAAGTTTTAGAACTGAAAATGCAAAAATCAAAATTTAAAACTCAACAGGTGGGCTCAACATCAAAATGGAGGGGACAGAGGAATGAATCCGTGAACTTAAAGACAAAACAATAAAAATGACTCGATCTGAACAACAGACGACTTTAAAAATGAGCAGAAAAAAAAATGAGCGGAACCTAAAGAACCTAAGAAACTATTTAAAAAGAAAAGAAAAAAAAAAAGATCTAGCATTTTGGTGATCCAGAATTCAAGGAAAAAAAAAAAAAGATGAGGATGGGACTGGAAAAGTTTTTAAAGAAACACTGGCTTAAAAATTCTCAAATTTGGCGAAAGACATGAATCTACAGATTCAGGAAGCTGAGAAAACCCCAAAAAGGATAAACCAAATGAAATCTATGCTGAGACGTAGCATATTACAACTTCTGAAAACTAAAGACAAAGAAGAAATCTCAAAAGCAGTAAGAGAAATGACATCTTAAGTATAAGGGAAAAACAATGTGATTGAAAGCAGATTTCTCATCAGAAACCGTGGAGACCAAAAGGAAATGGCAGACATTCTTCAAGTGCTGAAAGAAATGTCAACCCGGAATCTTATATCCAGTGAAAATATCCTTCAGGAATGAAAAAGAAATCAAGACATTCTCAGAAGAAAGAAAACTGAAAGAATTTGTCACCATCAGACCTACCCTAAAAAGGTCCAGCTGCACAGCGGGTGTGGGTTCCTGTGCCCGGGCTCGGGTGGGGCAGACGGGGGAGAAGCAGGCCTCGTGCGGGCTCTAGGATTCCAGCTCAGGCAACGGGTTGGATGGCGGACCCCTTGCTGACCTGGAAATGCTGGAGCGTGGGGCCGGGGGTCTTGGAGTCCTTCCTGCCTGCCCCCTGCCGCCCCCCCCCCCCCCGTGCCAGGCCTCTCCCCGCAGGGCCACCACTTCTGTGTTCCCAGCAAACCAGTTTCTCCGCGACCCTTAGCGCTGGCGGGACAGAGTGTGCTTACATCTGTGATGAAACAGAGGAATGGCAGTAATCTCTGCGCAGGTGCGGAAACGCAAGGGCTTCTCCCGGGGCAGGCGGTGCCGACGGCACCTCGAGTCTCTGCTGATTTGAGTTATTTCACTGAGCACGTATTATGCTATAGTGAGAACCACAGCAACGAATTTTTAAGCCTCTGGAATTTCTAAACTTTTCCTTCTGGAATAACTTGAGTTTGACCAAGGAGGCACAAAGCTAGGAGCTTCCCGAATGCGCTACGTGACCGGGCGCGTTGATCGTGGCTAAGAAATGAAGTCGGTGGACACTGCTGACTGAAGAGTCTCCATGTCTCCCACCGCGTCCTCCTTCTGGCCCAGGGTCCCGTCCAGGACCCCACCTGGCCTCCTGGTCCCTCCGGGCTCGTCCTCCATGAGTCCCTTAGGGCCCGCTGACCCTCTGGAAGAGCACGGCCCGGTTACTCTGTAGGACGTCCGTCCCTCAGCTTGCGTTTGTCACTTTCTCGCGATTCCACCGAGTTGTGGGTTTGCAGACAGAAGACCCAGAGACGGGCGCCCCCATCACCTCACGTCAGGGGTCCTGAGACACAGGCGTGTTGACCTTGAGCACTGGTTAAGGTCCTGTCTGCCGGGACCCTCTGCTGTCAGGTTTTAGCTGGTTTTCAAGCAGTGTAGGATTCCACAGGGGCGGGGGATGGAGTGGCCGGGGAGAGGCAGGGCAGACGGGTCACTGAGGGCCTTGACTGTGGGCTGGGACCTTCTCTCAGAGGCAAAGGGGAGTCTGAGGAGGGCAGAGCCGAGATGTCCAGGTGATGGGGCGGAAGCACGAGAGGATGGAGGTCAAGAGCGAGGGAGCAGCAAGGACGAAGAGGCCTCCGTGAAGAGCTTCTGTCTCCAGAAGGAGCGGGAAGTCAGGGGCTAGGGGCTGCCCTGCCGGAGGATGCGGCGGGCCCGCGGCCAGCCCCACCTCCTCCCGGCGGCCCTGAACAAACAGCTGCCCCCCACGCGGGCTCCCTTGTGCCCTGGGCCTTGGGACCCCCAGGTGAGGATGAAGGTTCAGGGCTTCGTCCTGAACCTTCCCGGGTGTCCCGACCCAGTGGCACAGTCAGTGGTCGGACCAGGCCGGTGGGGCACCGTGGAGCCCAGAGCTGAGTCTTTCCCCAGATCCCGCAGGCCCTTCCCCAGTCTAGCCATCAGAGGTGAACGGTCTGCCCTCCTCCACCCGTCCCAGAGCCCCCTGCCCCCGGCCTCTGCCCCGAGCGTGGAGTGTGGGTGGGTGGCAGGTTCTGTCCCGTTACCTTTCGCCGTGTGGAGCAGAGTTTGGGAGGGACGTTGTGCTTCCTCCGGCTGTGGGTGGAGGATGGACTGCTGGGGGTCTGGGGGTGCGGGGGGGTGGTCCCAGGAGGAGCCCCGTCATCCAGTGGGAGGGAGGCCGCTTGGACTCGGGGGACGGCGTGGAGCTGGCGGGGGCGATTCTGCGTGCGTCTGGGGCAGGGTCGGAAGGCGCCGCCACTGGCTTGGCCGCAGGCTTTGCGGGTGAGAGTGCTCAGGAAGAACTGGGGGCGGTTGGCCTGCCGCTGGCTGCAGACGGTCTCAGCCCGCTCCCCGGGGGCCGCAGGGGGGCAGGGACGGGGTGCGGGGCAGATGAACACTTGTAAAGGGATTGGATGGGCTGCCTCGGTCCTGTGCCCGTGGCCACCAGTGGGACACCGTGGGCTCCAGGCTGCGGGCGTGGCCCCCCGGCCCAGGCGACAGGAGGCCGGCCTCGCGGAGGCTGTGCCAGTGGCTGCGAGCGCCGCCTACCTCCAGGAGCCCACGCAAGTCAAGGATCATTGGTGAGCAGAGTGTATAACTAAGTGCTAAACTGTGGCTGCAGGAGTGCCAGGTGGGGGAGTCGTGCCAGGCGGGGGCGCTGGGGCCGCGGCTCGTGCCCAGGGGGCTGCCGATCAGGGGATGGGTTCAGGGGGGCAGAGCAGAGCAGGGGGTGCAGATGTGGAGGCCTCCCACCCCAGAGGAGCAGCGTGGGGTTGGGCAAGACGGGTGCAGGCTGGGCGAGCGCTGGGTGGTCTCGGTGGGCCTCAGCAGCCCCACCTGTGAGATGGGTTTCTCCGAGCGCCCCGTCTGTGTCCAGATGCCAGCACAGGGTCTGGCTCACCAGGGATGCCCGGACAGAGGGACACACAGGCACACAGACAAGAAAGAGACTTTCAAATAAACAAATGGCTGGCCTCGCGCCTCCCTGTCCCCTCCCCCCCCCCCCCCCACAGGAGCCCCGTCCAGAGCAGGTCCTCCCTCCCCTTCTTGTCCTGGTGGCCCAGGGCCTGGCCGAGTCCCAAGGGGCCTGTGCGGCAGGACGTCCCCACCGAGGCCTCCAGAAGCTGAGAGTGCTGGGCTCACCCCAGCGCCTTAGGGAGCCAGGGTCAAGGGGAGCCTTTCCAGGAGCTCAAGCAGACGGCTGTGGGCGCTGGAGCAGAGGGGGCCTGGGCTGGAAGGGGGCGGGGAGGCGGGGGCCGCGAGGGTCACGGGCGCCCCGCCCCAGGGCAGCCAGACAGACGCTGGATCCTGGGCACCGTGTCCCCAGCGCCGCGAGGGAGCCCGGCGGCAGGAGGCTGCCCCCCTTAGCAGCACTGTGTTTGCAGCCTGGCTCAGCAGGCCGGCCTGTTAAACAAATATTGTGACAGGCCCCTCCTGCACTCAGGGATAGCGGCTGTCACCAAGGCCACCGTCCCAGCACAGCCTCTCCTTCCAACGCCGAGGCAAAACGCTCTGCCTAAACCACCCCAACTTGGCCGCAGCCGAGGGAGACACACCGCACATGGGGGCAGGGCGCGGGCACAGGGCCACCGCCGCACTCGGGCCTCAGCTCCACGCACAGGCAGGAGGGACACAGCATCTATTTATTCACCCGGCGATGGGGGCAAAAATGTAAAACCACAAGGGAGAGGGGAGAGAGTATGACAGACAGGGGTCGGGGAAGGCGTCTCTGAACTTCAGGACGGAGACTCAAGGGAAGCAAAGGGGCTGACGGGGCCCCGGGGAACAGCATCCAGGCATGGGGAACAGCAGGTGCAAAGGCCCCGGGGCAAGGCTGGCCTGGCACGTTTTGGGGCTGAGTGGGAGAGGGCTAAGTGTGGCTGAAGTGAGAGTACCGGGACAGATGGCGTGGGCTTTTCCTCTGAGGAAGGGGAGTGCAGCCGGTGTGGGTCTGAGCCCTCTGGCTGCCAGGGGAGCAGAGGCAGGAGCAGGGTGTGTCAACAGCCCAGTGGAGAGGGAGGGGCAGTTCAGAGCAGAGGGAGGCTGCAGGGGGAGGGGCCGGGGTTTCTTTGGAGACCGGGTGTGGGGAGGAGGGGAGGGGAGAGCTGGGGAGACCCCACTGGTCCTAGGCTTCTGAATTTCCTCATTCATTCGCTCAGTCATACTTTCATTTTCCTTCTATTTTCAGCACAGGAGGAGTGGGGAGAGAAACAAAGAAGTTCACTGCAGCATTAATTAAGCTACAGGACTCAACGGGGGTAACAGACCACTAGACCACGCAGCTGTCCCTTCTCCTCGCCATGCACACGACCCTGGGGCCCTGAGACACAGACCAGGGTGATGGGGAAGGGGGCTGGGGGTCTAGGTGGCAGGGCACAGGGACGTCTGTCCTCTCGGGGGGGTGACAGACTGAGCCCCCTCCTGCCCTAGCTCAGGCCAGGACCCCTCTTCCCCATCACAGCCCCATCCTCTGCCCCCTCCATCCACAAGGCTGCCAAGGGGCAATATCTCAGTCCTTCAGTGGCTGCCTGGGGCCTCAGGACCAAGCCCACATCCTCAGCCTGGCAGTCCAGGCCTCTTAGGCCCTGCGGCCTCATGCCCAAGCTCCCTCCCCATGACACAGCAGCCTCACAGACTGGCTGCCCTTCCCCAAGGCTGTCCGCTCCCACTCTCCTCCGGATCTTTGCCGCACTGTCCGCGGCCCCTCGTCCTTCAGGTCTACGTTCAGTGTCGCTGCCTCGGGCCCCTCACTCCCCGCCACTGACAAGGCTGGTCAGGGGCCACTCCAGCTGCCTTTTGAGCCTGTCTCCGCCCGTCTCTTCATGCAGCCCTGGTCCCAGCCTCACTGTGTGACTGTGGGCAGGTCCCCTGCCCTCTCTGAGCCTCCAGGGAAGGGCTGAACCCCAGGGTCTGTCAGCCCAAGGACCCGTGATCTTGGACCAGCCGGTCCTAAATCCACACTTCTCCTTGCAGGGCCCAGCAGCACCTGGCAGGACGGGGCTGCAGCCGTGGGAGAGCTGAGCCCTCCACGGTGGTATAGCTGAGCAGCCAAGTTCAGTATCTTTGAACAAAGCCTGCAGATGGACCTCGGCTGCTGGGGAGGCCAGCCAGCTTTTACACCGCCACGCAGGGACTTTCCACTAATTGGATCCCCAGGGAAGGAGAGCGGCCGCCATCCCCAGCCATCGCACCCATCCACTCACTCACTCATTCATTCACTCACTGAGAGCCTACGGTGCAGCCGAGGGCGCCCAGCTCGGCTCTGGGGACCCTGGGGTGAACAAGATGAAGCCCGGCCCAGAGGCAGCTTGCCCACCCTCGGGTAGGGCCTGGCCGCTGCGGCGGAAGAGTCTGGACTTTGTGCGGAGTGCGCTGGGAGCCTGGAAGGTAGGGCCTGCTGTGACCCACTCCCACGACCGTGCACAGCCCTCCCAGCCCTCTCACACCCGCTGGCCCACACTGTCCCCCTTCAGGTGGGAGAGGGGAGAGGCTCTGGTCGGGCCCTGCCCCAGCCCGCCTGCGTCACACTTGGCCTTGTCCCTCGTCTCTGCCCCCCCCCCCGCCCCCTGCCATGCAGCATCTGAGGTTGCCGCCCTAGGCCGCCTCTGGTTGGGCCCACTGGCTGCTCCGCTGACGAGGGGCACGTACGCTAGGGATTCTCTGAGGGAATCACAACCTCAGCCCCCGCCCCCGTGATCCCACCGCTGTCTGCTCACTTTCCTGCCCCAGAATCCCACCCCCAGGCTTCCAAGACGTGGATCCAGAGGCCCCTACAGCCAGAGACCCCAGAGGGGGCCCGACCCTGAGGGGACCCTGAGAGCCACTCAGCTAGTTGTTCCCAGAGTCTGGGAGGGGCGCAGTAAAGGTGTGCATCCATTCCCAGAAGCCCTGGCCCCGAGCCCCAGCCTGCCTGTGTTTACCTGTGCGACGGCGGCAGCCTCAGTTTGCCCGGCTGTTCCCTGGGGTGGTCGTTGTGATGCCCTGTGAGGCCTCTCCTAGCTCACGCGCCTGTTGTCTCAGGAGAGAAGCAGTTCGTCTCTGGATTCAAACTCAGCCACCTCTGCTTCTACCTGTGTGACCTTGGGCAGCTGGCTTAACCTCTCTGAGACTCAGTTTCCCCATCCATAAAATGGAGCCATAATTCATGGGGTTATTATGAGATACCATCAGACGGGTTGAGGAAAGCTCATAGCACACAGTAAGCCCTCAGTAAGTGTGAGCAGGAGCTGTGAGTCCTGAGCTGACCTGTGTCCCCCTCCCCAAGGGCTCAGGCCAAGGTCATGGCCAGTGTCCAGAGAAGGCTGGGCCCCAGGCCACCTGATCAAGTGTCTACTTGCCTGAGCAGCAGAGTCCCAGCTTGAGGTCACCTTGACCCCTGACTTACTGAGTCTCTGCCATGTGCCATGCACCCTGGTCCGCTGTGGAGAGCCGGCCAGTGGAGACTGAGACTGGGAGGGGCTGCCCCAGGTCTCCTAGGGGTGTGTGTATTGGGGGAGGGGGCATGCAAAGCAGAAACATGCAGGTAGGAATTGGGGCTACTGGAGATCCGGTGCGGAGGAGCGTCCTGAGGAAGGTACGTTAGAAAGGGGGGGGGGGGGGGGGGGGGGGGCGTGAGTCCCGGGAAGGTCATGGAGGGAGGGGAGGTAGTGCCTGCGCAGGGAGCTTTGAGACTGCTGGAAACGGCAAGAAGGCGGAAGAGCGATGTGAGGACCTCAGGAGAAGTCGGCGGAGGAGGTGACGTCAGCCGGGCAGGGCCTCTGCAGGTCTGCAAGCCACCGCATCGGGATTCTATTTTAAGGTGACAGGAGCCCCCGGTGGGTTCCAAGGCAGCTCAGCGGTGGGGGGCGGGGGGGCTATTTCGCTGCGAGGCCCGCGGCCGGCCCCGCCCTGCCCTGGCTCTGACTCCAAGCCCACAGCTCCAGGCAAGAAGATGAAGCCGGAGGGAGGGGCTGGGGGGCCGGTGGAGGGAACGGGCTGGGGTCTGGGGATGTGGGCGCGAGGTGGGGTCGGGGTGGGGCACAGGCTGAGGCCTGGGTGGGATACCAGGTGGGGACCGGGGTGCGGACACAGGCCGGGGTGCCGAGGGCGCAGCAGGGCGACCCGCGGGGTCCGAGCGGAGGGTCCGCGGGCCTGGGCCCGGCTCTGCCCCGTCAGCTGCAGCCCCGCAGCCCCGTGGCGGAGCGAGCGGACAGACCGAGCGCGCCGTGGCCGGTGCGACACCGCCCCCTGCCGGCCGCGCCAAGCATCGCGCCGCTCTGCGCCGGGAGGGCTGCGGGGCCGCGGGGGGCGCAGGACGTGGGACCCACGCCGGGCTGCGAGGCGAGCGCGAGGAGGAGGCGCGCCCTGTCCCCTCGGACAGCCTCTCCTGCCCTGGGTCTCGTTCCCAGCGGGGCGGGCGCGGGTCACGCAGTGGGAGTGGCGGTGCTGTCCACGCAGGCCTGCAGGCTGCACAACCTCTGAGCCTCAGTTTCCTCGTCGGTAAAAAGGGGTCATCGTACCCGCACCTGCCTGAGAGCCTTCACACCTCAGACCGTTAAACCCCCTGCCGGAAGAGTGCAAGTGCTAAATTCTCCAACAATTTCTAGACAGTTTTCGTCTAAATCTGCCTTTTTCGTTCATTTTCTCTTAGCTCTGGAGCGAAACACAAGTGACGCTGAACTGCAGAGTCTGGTACGTAAAGATCGTGCATTTTGAGAAGCAAGGACCCTCCAAAGTCAAGCAGCTTTTAGCCTATGGAAAGATGTCCGGACAGCTAAAAGTTTAAAATGCACTTAAAACAAAAGGAAAAAAAAAGTCAAAAGATAAATGTCAAACTGGGGGAAGTGTTTGCAACTCACATCACAGAAGTCTTATATGGGAATCAGCATACTTTCCCTGTAAAGAGCCACGTGGTAAATACTGTCCGCTTCCAGGCCACAGGCTCTACTCAACTGTGCTCCGGGGGAATTTTATTTGTTAAAAACATAATAAGCCAGTGGGCCTGATTTAGCCCACAGGCCATAGTCTGGTCTCATTTAACCAATATATGAAGAGGTCCTAGAAATCAAGAAGAGACAACCCAATAAAAAATGGGGAGAAAACATTAATAGATGGTTTTTAAAAAAAGGAAACTCAAAGGCCCTGAACCAATGTGACAAATGCCTGACTTCACGTGTGATAAGAGAAACGGAAACGAAGGACCCAGAGATACCCTGCTTCCCACCAGTACGCACCTCCATCAGGTGTGCACACACCGACTTGGCGACTCCATGGGAAACAGGTCCCTGCCGTGTCGCTGGTGGGAGCACACAGCACGCACCCTCGGGAGGGGACGTTGTCTGTCCATCAGGCTTTCCCCCGACCCAGCAACCCACGCCAACCCTGGCCCCTGCAGGCACAGCCGGGTACCATGTTGCCAAGATTACATCAGGAGGGCCACTGCTGCTGTGTTTGTGATGGTGAAATCACAACCCACCCAGGAGCCGTATAGAAACGCTGCCTCGGACGCCCCCGGGGGAATAGTACGGAGCTGTAATGGCAACGAGGAGAGTCCTGGCAGGTAAGGGGAAATCTACGTGCCGGTGGACATTAAGGGAAAAAACTGACGTGCAGAACTGGGTGTGGGAGTAAGAGGCCTGTTGGTATGTGTTTGTACTTGTGTAAAGAAACACTAGAAGGATCCCTAAGAAACCGAGCAGGTGTGTAGCCGTTTGGGCAGTGGCGGTCAGGTGCAGGGAGGAGAGAGAGTACTCAGTGTTGATCATTGCACCTTTGAAGCCCTGAGAGGATGTATATTCCAGTCGAAGTTTAAAACTCTAAAGTCAGTGCATATGGCTTTGTTGGAGCAAAAGGGAAAGAAGCCGAGCACAGGAGAGTACGTACAGGATGCTACGGTTTGTGCGGGAAAGGCACGTTCCCTGATGTGTGGAGCTGCTTTGGAAGGACAACCCCCCCCCCCCACAGGATGCTGCCGCGGTGGCCTCTGGGAGGAGCTCGGCCAGGGCTGGAGGGAGACACCCTTCACCGTTGATCCATTTGGATGGGTGGATTAGTATTTTCTTTCTTTCTTTTTACCATATACGTGTTTCGAAGTTTTCAAGTGAAAAAAAGGAGAAGAATAAGTGATGGGAGCCCACGGGCTGCTGAAATAATTCAGCAGCTCCCCAGCACGGGCTGCGCCTCAAGCTGGGCTCTCTTCTAGGGTTTGCACTTGCTGAGCAAGTACCACTGCCTCCCTCTTATAGCTGCCTCCCTTTTATAGCTGAGGAGACGGAGGCCTGGAGAGGTCAGGGCCTCGTGAGGTCAGGGCCTTGCCTGGCATCACACGCTGGCGGGCGTGCTGTCCATCGAGTCCCCAAGACGCCCCCAGGCCGGGTGGAAAACAGACGCGCTCCCACCCTGCTCAGCACTGGAGTTCCCTCTGTAGAAACCTCTCAACGGGTTGCCCTACTTTCCAGGACAGGAAGCTCACCACCTTACAAGGAGGGGATTCCATGGCCAGTTGGTTCTGTTAAAAAGCTCCTCCGGGCTTCCCTGGTGGCGCAGTGGTTGAGAGTCCACCTGCCGATGCGGGGGACGCGGGTTCGTGCCCCGGTCCGGGAGGATCCCACATGCCGCGGAGCGGCTGGGCCCGTGAGCCATGGCCGCTGAGCCTGCGCGTCCGGAGCCTGTGCTCCGTCCGCAACGGGAGAGGCCACAACAGTGAGAGGCCCCCATACCGCAAAAAAAAAAAAAAGAATAAAAGCTCCTCCTCTCTCCGCAGTTGCGCTTCCCCGCCCCTGGCTCTGCCCTGGGGGCCACCTGCTCCTCTGTCAGGGCAGCCGCAAGGCATGTGGAGGCCAGAGCACCTGGCGCCGGGCTTCAGGCTGCGCGGTCCTGGTCGCAGTGTTGGGTGACTCCCCTTCCCTCCCAGCTCCAACGTGGATAACACGCCCCTTCCACACGAGCGCTCTGAGCTTCACGGGATGCTGCCAGCCCACAGGCAGGCTCCAGCCCGTCCCTCCTCTTTGCTGCGTGCTTTGGCCGTGTTAACCTCTGGTCTTGCCTAAAGTAGCCGAGACTGGGCATACCTCGGGACCTTTTCACTTACTGTTCCTGCCCTCTGGAAAGCTGTGTGTCTGCATCTTCCCAGCCCCAGCTTCAGGGCAGGAATGTGACCTCCTTGGGGAGGCCTGAGCACTCTAGCTGGCCCTCTTCCCCACCCGTTGCCTTTCCCATCTTCCCGTTTCATCCTGGAATTGTCTCGCTTATTTCCTTGTTATCTGTGTCCCCTGGCTCCGGAGGATGAGGACTTCGTGGATCCCAGTGCCTGGGACGGTGCCTGGCACGTGCTGGATGTTCATTCAATACATGAGTGCGTGGTTGAGTGCAGGACATACCGGCTCCCGTGTGCGGGGACGAGCCGGGAGGGGCCGCGGGTCTGAGGGCCTGTCTCTGGGGTCTGTCGCCAGCCCTGCCCTTTCACCCCCTGCTCCCCTGCCCACCAGTCAGGGCAGAGGTGAGGCCACGAGGCCACCCTCCCAGAGAGACATCAGGGCTCTGAATTCCATTTAAAACAGTGTAATTGCCTAATTGCTCTGCTCTTCGGTGCAGTTGGTTAACAGAAGCGGCTCTGCAGCCGCCGGGCCAGCCTAGCAGAAAATTGGCAGCTCAGCCAGAGGGAACTGGAGAGGCAGAGCCCTGGGTGGCCACTGCTCCCTGCTGCCCGCCCGCCCGCCCGGCCCCACCCGAGCTGAGCCTAGCACGGAGAGCACGTGTGGGCCCGGCGGGCGCTGCTCGGGCATCGCGATGAGCAGGTGCTTGTGCTAACGTGTTCGGACGCCCCTGCTGTGTGCTAACCTTTTTCCTTAATGTTTCCGTCATGCTTTCGAACAGGGAGCACATGCAAATAACGTTTTGATTCAAGGTGTGGACGGGTTTGCCGCTTCCACGAGCCTCGCTTTTCCACCCTGATCCCGGACACCTGTCCCTGCCCCAGGCATGGGCCGCTGTGTGTCCTGCAGGTCCTCCCAGAGATGGTTTATGTTCCTGCGTGCATGAAAACTGGTTTATACAAAATGATCACGCACCATAAACACTGTTCTGCTTTTTTTCCCATTTACTGTATCGTGGAGTCTGTTCCTCACCCGGTGTACCTGGGGGCCCTCCCTGGTCACAGTGGCAGCAGCGTCCCCGCTGGACACCACGGCTGCCCCAGCCGCCTGCCATTAAGGCAGCGTTGTGACCTCAGTCTTTATTCACAGCTCACGGTTGCACACGGGAGGGTAGGTGTGTGCAGACTCCATGTTCATCTTCCAATCCGGGTTTGTTTTTCTCACCCACAAAGCATCACTTACTTCCTGCGGGGACAGAAAGCCCCACAGCCCTGCTTCCTCTGGTCCTCACTTGCTTTACACAAGTGGGCTCAGAGCATTTAGACTGTTCTCAAGCTGCGGCCTTTTCTTCATGTGACGGTAAACAAGGCTGCTCTTCCCGAGGAAGGGAACCGCCTGCATTTGGTCCGAGGGCTGAGCGCCGTCGTCGTGCTCTCCTGCCGCGTTGGAATC